CATCTTTTTATTTTATTTCTAGGATTCCATAGAAAGCATTCGCTTACACTTTTCAGTGCTTCCAGGCTTTCCATGGTGGTCTAGCTTCAATTGACTTACGATTCCAACTATTGAAATTTATAAAATCTCTAAAAACTCCCGTCTGATAATAATCATCTGCTCACCAGTGACTAACTTCAAGAGGCATTTCCTGGAGTTCTAGTGAGAAGCCTTAACCAATGGAGTCCAGCCAGGTCTGTTGTGAGATATCAGCTCATTGAAGACAATAGTGTAGGGTGGCGCAATTTCGTGGATTGATTGAAGTTAGACAATAACACCGTTGGATGCCGGCCAGCTCAGTGGTCTAGAATGTAAGCGCTCACAAACGAGACTGATATATCCTGAGTTCGAATCTCGCGGGGGGTGGGATCGTGAATGCGCACTAGTGAGGATTCCCATATGAGGACGAAACGGCCGTCCAGTGCTTCCAGGTGTTTTCATAATGGTCTAGCTTCAATTGACTCGTGATTTCAACTACTAAAAAAATAATAATTTAATAGTCGAGATCATGAGCCAATAGAAGCCTTACCACCATGGAAAATCTGGAAGCACTGGACAGCCATTTCATCCTATTGTAAGACTCTTCAGCATTTAGTTTGCAAACTGTATATAACATAATAACAATGAAAGAAAGCCTTTTATACTAATAATAATTTATAATTCTACCTAAAATATACATAAATTAAAAATTTTCTTTTCTCAGACAAAAACATTTGGCTTCACATATGAAATAATAAAAAAAACCAAGATCTTAAAAGAAATAGGGATATACAAATAATATCCATGCCTTTTATTGTCTAAAAACGTTTGTTTCACATAGCAGATTAGCAGACTTTTTATTGTAAAAAGAAAAACAGCATCAAATTTATTTTCATTAAAATTTAAATTCCTCCCTCTATCTATTGATTTATGTATCTATTTGTCTGTTTATCCGTTGCCTAACGTTAAAATTCCCAATTTAAAGAGAGAAAAAAAACCCAAGAAGAATGTTTGTAATCAAACATACGATATTCAACGCATAAAAGATGATAACCTTATCAACAGTATTCCTTCTATTAGGAAGACTATCAAACTTCATTTCATATTTCAGAAAGTCAAGAGTATATTTATAATTCCGTAAATCAAGGAATAGATCAAAGTATTCATTTAGATCATGCTAAAGTGTCATTTAAACAACAACAAAAATAAACATAATGACTGATCTATTTCATTTATCTGAAAAACAAATTTAATCCAAGTATATTCTCCGTTGTTAAGTTATCATAATGAATACAAGTAGGTCAGTTTATATTCAAGTCATACTACGAACTGGCTTTTTATAGTTGTCTATTTTCAGACGAGTAAACAGTGAAGTATTACTCTATAACTCAGTAAACTGTAATAATCCGTCATTGTTGTTCAATATATATAAAACTTGAGAACATCATAAATAATTATAATTAGTAATCAGCTGACTTTTCGAAAAGTGAAGGAACGTTACAACTAAATTTAACTCTAAGTTGCTATCATCCAGAATTACTTCGTAATGTCTAAAGCATCAATAACGTTACATTCACTTTTCATCAGATTGTAGGGAACTAAAAACCGATGAAGAAGATTTGTAGAACTGTGTTTCACGCGAACAACGTATAGTTTAAGACAATAAGTAAGAATATTTTCAACTATTCTATACACAGACAAGAATGAACTGTACATTTGTCGAGAGTGCTGATAAATATTGAACGTTACATGAAATAAGTTTACTACACTCCTTAGTTGTTGTGACTTCATGAATAATTACTTAAAGTTTACAGTGATATGTACTGAATTAGACTGTTAGCAACTGTTTAAAAAATGTGTAATCAATACATTTTATGATGTATTTGATTCCTCTTAATGTTATCAGTTTTTAAACAATCTGTCAATGACTTAAGTTAAACAATCAAAGTTGTGAAGAAATTTCAATAAACAGAGATTATGATGAATCCTCTCCCCCATGTTAGTGATAATGAATAAAACCTTAACGGTCATAAATTAGTCCTTTGTTATCTCTGTAAACCATGTCATCTTAAGTTATTTGTTCTACAGCTCGATGAACTGTTTTCTTTTTTTTTGTCAACTATGAAACAAAACTAATAATCTAAAAGAACGAGATCAATTTATTTCAATCACTCAATGTTCAACAATAAAAGGGATAAACCATAAAGTTAAATCATTCGGTCTAATGACAATATTACAAACTTTATTACCTCTAGGATATAAAAAGTGGAATTTTCAAGATTTTAATTTACATTTATATTTCTGTTTCATTATTAATTCAGTAAAAGTGTACTATGTTGATAGAATACACAATTAACGAAAATGTATGACATTGTATTGAACATTCTTGTTAACTATAATACTACTTAAATTAACAATTTATTTTAGTAGTTTGTGTGAAAAAAAATAATTGTAGACTAATTCTCTTGCGATTAGTATCAAAGTATTAGATCTAGAATATTTGGAAGCTTTATATGAAATGTACAAAATTTATCACTAGTAGTGTACACTAGATGAAACCAAGCTTTATTTTCATTTCAAAGGCTTCAATGCATTATCATACTGTTTAGGCCTCATTAGATTGAAATACTATTTACGTTTATTACTATGTCGTTAGGTTTGAAGCTAGTGGGTTATGAGAGAGATAGATAATTAATCGATAATTCCTAACTATTAGGTGTAGGAATATGATTATCATCAACATAAAGTCCATTCACATATATCATACAACATGGTACAGTAATGACAAGTCAGCGTTCTTTTTTTGGTTATCGATATCATAAAAATACTCAATATTAATTCTCAAAAGCCTAATTTGGTAAAACAATATAACTATTGTTTTATCTATATAATTTTTTTTCTATTTTGCTGTGTTATTGAAGTACGTTTACAAGGTCATTGTTCACACAACACAATATGTCTCAGACATAGACAAAGCTCCAGAAAACCTTTAATTGTACTTATATTTACATGTATGTATGAGTCACATTTATTAAATGAATTTAAACAAGACAGAGAAGTTGTAAAATATACTATTTTGATTAATGTCCTATATCGATGTTACTATTCATAGCATATTTTGAATTTAATGGTATAACATACTTTTCAGAATTTCAAATTCTTTATGTTAATCTAAATATTTAGATATTTAATATCAGAAGGGGTTTTGTGAATATGATAGTAATTTTTAATGGTTGAGATCATGATTCAATTGAAGCTAGATCACCATCGGAAGCCTGGAAGCACTGGATGACCGTTTCGTCCTAATGTGGGACTCCTCAGCAGTGTTTATCCATGATCTCGCCCCCCCCCCGCGAGATATTGCATAGTTTGGTGATAATTTTCATCATAAACTTACATTATATGAGTTCATGCAAAACTAAGAAGTGCTGGTCAACTGTCCTATATTAATGTTGACGACTAACTGCATCATTTTTGACTTAGGTGTAGGTAACGTTAAATCTTATATTGACTAAAGGAAAAAATGTAGAACACTTTGTTCCTAATTGATGATTTAAAGATATCGTACTCCCCGTGAAAACCGGTGTTGAATTTGATCATAGGTAGCTTTGGATTTATGATGATTTCAAATCTGGGTCATTTTATGGAGATATCGTAACATTTGAAGGCAATTTTCATCATGAACTGACATCATTTGGAGGACAGCTGAAAACTAATAAACATATGAACACACTGATATTACTGAATAAGGATTATGTCGTTTTACTGTCGATAGCACCTTATTGTAAGATGTCTGTGGACATTCTCCAGTTTGTAGTCAGTTTCTTAGGGTCTTAGTTCCTGAAAACTATTAAGAACTAAGAGATATCATAAAATTGTTTTGACATATTTTAGGACGCCTCAGAAACATGGCCTAACGATACACCTGGGAACAGATCCAACACCTTCAGGTATTGAGGTGATTGTGATACATTTGAGCTACACAGAGTTTACTGGTTCATATTTCAAACTTTAATCAATTCGTATTAAAATTGAACAATCATTCAAGATCGGCAACGATTTATATCTCACCATTCACACGTTGACTGGCTTTATATTTAAAATCTATATGTAAGAAACATAGAGTCACTCCACAATACAAACAGTTACTATTGTAAAATAAATAACATTAAAAACGTTGAATTCCCTGAATTCACAACATTATGATATGTGGAAGATATGTTTATTTCAGTCAATCATCGGATAGGATATATGCTACAGTAATTATATGTTATACTTGACTTTAAATAAAATCATGCGACGAAGAGATGTACGTGCATGTGTGTCTGCTTCGTAGGAATTCTGTAGGCAGCTACAATAAATCGCTGATTAATACTTGCGTAAATCATCATTCCTATAATAAAATCTAGAAAAAAATTATCACCATAATAGATTCTTTGGAAATATTCCTAAGAAATCTTGACTTAATACCTCCAATTCGGTTGAGCAACGGTTCGATTATTTAGGGTAATAATAATATCCCAGTGAATACGTAGTCGAATTTCTGACGTTTTCTATAAAATGTCTTATCAGAGAATAGATAACCTCTCCAGACCAAAATAATTTCCAGTTTTCTCAACAAATTACAGTATCAACTTAATTTTATACTTTAACTTTACATCACATGCTGATCTCATGCAACCATTGAGAACCAAGAATCACTGAGAAGTGGAGCTCCTCAGCAGCGCGCATCCGCGGTCCATCAATGATCGAGCCTAGAACCTTCAGATATCGAGTCGCACACTTAAACTCTAGACTAATGAACCATCACCCATAAAATTCAACAATCTATACAAGCACCCTTTAAAAAAATTAAATTTTGATAAATTTTAATAACTTTTGAAACAGTCAACATCTTATATTCCATGCGAAATCGAACGATATTTTTATGTCTTGTTTTTTCGTTAAAGTTACATCATTTTGTTTTCCTTCTTTCTGTTTAGTTATTGCAGCGAATAATTTGAAATGGACAACATCGGGAACATTTAAACCTTTTATTGAAGTAGTATTATTTGGTCCATTATTAAGTGAAAAAAAGCATAAATTTGCAACAAAATCAAAGAATAATGTTTGGTCGCCTGTGTTTAATGAAACATTTACATTGTATGTTTTCTAGAGAATGAATGTGTTCCTTATTTTAATGAAATGGGCTTTTTTGTAAAGATTTCATGTTTCTTGGGAAGTAAATTAATGTTTATTTAGAATTTCTCCATTGAGTCATTTAAACTTGTGAGATATTGTGTTTGGGTTAAAGGGAAAAGTGTTTTCAATGAATAATTAATAAATGATCACAAGTCGAATTACAGAACGATATTAGTTAGACCACCACTGAAAACCAGGAAACATTGAATAGCTATTCCATCACAGTTATGAGATTATTACAAGTTTGGTTATGTAGCATTTTCAACCCTTATTACAATAAAGCGTGTACAATCTGATATATATATATATATAATCTTAATATTTATGAAGCAGTTTGGTTTTGATCCGTATAGTTTTATGGAAATAGTAGGGTTTTCAGTTTTTAAATCACAAACGGATCTGATTTTACCATAATTGAAAACCTGGGATCACTGGGCGGACGTTTTGTGTCAGTATAAGACCTCTTATCAGTGCTCATCTACAATCGAACATCCAGAAATCGAACCCGGTGCCTCCGGTCTGGCGCGCGAATGTTTGACCTGTAAATCAATGAAGCGAGATCCAATTGTGTTGAAGTTCGACTTGAATGAATCCACGATATTCCACAACTATCTTCTATTGCCTAAGGGGGACAACTGTCTCATCACCTACATAGTTGCGGGGTCCTTGAACCTCACTGCTGAGATATCTCATACAGGGACGAAACAAGAATCCATTGCTTTTATGTTTTTAGTAGTGGTTCAAGTAAAATGTTTTTCGTTTATATTAGTCTCTCAGTCATCCTGATGGACGCTAGGCCCAATAATTCTATATGAGTATAATCTCCTTTCTGTTTTCTTTGTCAAAATTTCTAGCTTTCTCAGTGCTGGTTCTGATCCAGAGTCGTATGAATTACATATGTGTGCCAAAGATTATTGTTTCGGTCGAACAGATCGATTGATTGGATTGACTGTATTACAACTACGTGATTTAGCAACAACAACTGATTTAAATGCTTCACCTACAATTCATTCAAGAGATGGTCGAACTGGTGCTGGTCAAAGTGGTGCATGTGCATGTATTTGTAGTCTGGGAAAAAGATTACATCTTGATGATACTGGATGGACTATACTACGTATATTATCACAACGTCCTCAAGATGAGATAGCTCGTGAATTTGTTCGTTTAAAATCAGAAGTTCGTAGTCCTTGTGATTCAATAGGAAATACTACTGGTTCTGTTACTGGTAGTTCATTGAATGGATCCGTTCCACGTAGCCGATAATATATATCTATATTCATGCCTTACACCTCTCTCCTGTAAACAATTCATGGGGACCATAAAAATTATCTATCAATTAATGATAAACACTTATCAACTGTCTTCCTTATTTTGTTGACAGAATTTATCTGAATCAATCTATGTAGGTGAAATATTCGAAAAACAAAACAGAGAAAAAAAACTTTATTCATCAATATTAGCCTTATTCATTTTAACATCTATAATTTATTCTATTATTATTATTATTATTATTATTATTATTATTATTATTATTATTATTATTATTATTATTGACAATATCTTATTATTACAACATATTCATGTGAATATCTCGTAGAAATTACCTCAAAATATACAAAGTATTTAAATATTGAATACAAAAATTCATAAATATTAAATTATTTAGGAATATTAAAACCACTATATATATACAGGCATTACAAAAATATATATCACATATGTACAAAAGCAAATTGACCGATAACAGAATACAACAATTATGCAAATAGGATAAATAATATTTAATTATTTTGTATTTTTATCCCCCACCGGCGTTTTTTTTTCAATCTTCTTGTTTATTTTATATTAATTCTTAAATCAATCTAATATTACCCATTTAATTAAAATCATTATTATTATGATTATTACTATAATTTAAAAGACTACTGATAATTTAACTACCTCTAAGGCAGTTAACTAATAATACATAATATATACATTTCTATTTAATGTATACTATTCATATAATAATTGTATTGTTATTATTATCTATATACTAATTAATTAATAAATAATAATAATCTTTTATAATTACTTTTTAAACATTCACTTTTGTTTATGCCATACACTGGTCTTATTTCTCAATATTTATTTTAACCCCTTTTTACATATTTATTTATATTTTAAATGGTTATTTACATGATTGCCGATAGAATGATATGTGTCAAGAAGACTTATGTTTATATATATATATATATATATATATATATATATATATATATATATATATATATATATATATATATATTAGTACTGTCTTTCAACTAACTAAAATGCAGAATCACATCATTGTGACTCAAATGAGAGTATTCATTGTTTACTGTTTGTTTTTCTTCTATTCTACAATCCTTATTCCTTTTATTCATAATTTTATTTAATTTCTTTGATTATTTTTCATTGATATAAAGAAAGAACAGAAGAAGAATGTAAATTTCATCGTTTCTTAAATTGATTTTTTATGTATATACATGGAGTGTTTTATCTTGCGGTTGACATTACTGAGTGATATATATATATATATATACTCTTATTATCATTATTTTCTGCTTATTAAATAATTTACTGTATTTTATTTATACAATTGAAGGCAGAAATAATGATTATTTAAGTAATATAAACAATATGACATTAATTAATTCATTTCTAGTATAAAATATACATTCATTTGTTAACTGCATTTATTCATCATTTACACATTCATGCATATATCTTATTATAATCTCAAGTGTTCGATATTGAGAGTATCTTCACATTGTACAAGTAATACTAATCATGATAACAATAGTAATAATAATAATAATAATAATATTCTTTTTTTTCTTACTTGTTATTAAAATGATTGAATTCATGGCTGGGAAGTTTAATTATTCATTTGTCTTGATTATTAGATTAGATCTTTGAAACTTACTCATTTTAAGCAAGTGAATAATTGTCATTAGCTTCCACACGATCAACGTAATTTAAGACTAGTTTCATAAGCCTGAGCTCTATTACTCAGATAGTAAAATTTTAAAAAAATATTATAGTAGATTTGACAAGATGAAATGTGGACATTTGTCTCATGACTCATTATTTGTCCTTCATAAAAACTAATATAAAATCACAAGCATTATATACAAAGATGAATGGTGGCTAACAGTGAAATCAAGGACAATAAAAAATGAATTAATATATAATCAGTTCATGGAAATTTAGTTCTTCTATTAGTATATTGAGAATCTCAAATATCACAGTAACAATATAACGGATATGGGATTTTATTTCTGTATATCTTTAGCAGAACATGACAGATTTATATTTTAGCCTTCCGACAATCAAAGTGTATTCCGATTAATTCGATAGCATTTGTTAATTTATGAAATAAAAGGCCATATCCTACATTAGCAATAAATTAATACAAGTGTATTAATTTAATGTCGGTTATTTATTTACTCTGAAGCGGTTTATATTGCCACGAAACGTCAAAAATACAAGTCTTCTACTCATTAGGATATAACAAAAATATATTTATTATTAACTCTCAACCCATTGCTCAATTTATTTGAAACTATCAATTCCAACCTTGGTATTAGTACCTAAACAGCTTTTTATCTATATGTATATAAGATTAACACCATACAAGTTCAAGTCACTTGACAAAATGGTTAATCAAGACAGTTTACACTAACATTAAACGACTCTTCTGGATTCCATTATCACATACTCAAGAGACCGATGACATTAACTTTAATTGAGGTGAGACTAACTTTCTTTCTTGAATATGTTTATATCTTATATTAGATGTATAGAAACTCTACATAAATAAAACATCTTGATTCCTATTGTTTCTGCTCAATCCAATACAAATAAGATTTGATGAAACGTCTATTTAAGAGGGTTTAAAATACTTCCGCAACTGTCACATAAAATATGAACTAGTAAATATAAGTACTCAGTGAAGCCGAAGTAAGAGGGGTTGTGTTACACCTAAATCTGTTTGTTATTAATATAACTAACGATTATGTATATGAATAAACTAATTGTTCTTTAAAATGACAGGTTCAAGTTACTGATCAGTAGGATTTATTACTCGTCTGAGGTCATACTAATTAAAAAGACAATATGATTAATAATCCAACATACATTCAAAGTCAACACGTAAGCGATCTTGTCACATCCTATTGTCTTGATCGAATTACATTTGAAAATGACTGAGACTAAGTGTAGAAGTTAACAGATTTTTGGATTTTAGTTATTTAATTATGAATCAAGGATAGGGAACTGTTGATTTTTGAAGTGTGTGAATTCAAAGAGCGAAATGCAAATAAGCATACATTGTAACTCTATAAAACTATATGAATGAACAATTTATAGTTTTTAAAAAGAACGTGATTGACGAACTGACATAAAAGTGACATCTACCCGCAGGGCTCATATTTTTCGTTTATGTGTAAATAATTGGAAGAGCACAAGCTGGTAACCACTTGAGATCAATAATGTATTATGATCAACTGCTTTTTCCGTGAACTAACCTACTATTCAGTATATAAGTCAGCAAGTTTTAAAAATAAAGTGCAGAACAAAATGTTCATTGTCCTAACTTACATTAGTGCTATAGAAAATCAATAAGTATCAATGTTGGGAGCTAATAGTGAGTAACATGAAATCGGGTGATATCAGAAGCATGTGAAGTGTTGATGTATCCTAACTAATCACAATGTAGGACATTTATTCTTATTCTATATGAAAAGAAAAACTGGACTAACAATAGTTTTGTGAACCTGACTGAAGAAACTGAAGGTTGGTTTGGCATATAAACCAAAACAATTTCTCAATGAACAGATGACTACACTTTAAAATCTAATTTTGAGTTCAAAAAAAGGGGAAAAAACTTATGGTTTTGTATGCCATATTTTCAAAATTTATTAACATCCCTTTGGGAGAAATAATAGACAATATGAGTCAATATTTGAAACGAACCACTGTAAAATTGAAACAATCCCATGATCGAACTTAACGTGTATTTAGATGGGCAGAATAGATTAACTTCAAAGTAATTCCATCATCATCTATTTGTCAGGTTCTGGATTTCCTTGCATAAGTAGATAAAACTTAAAGCATATGTAACTTGTAATAAATATGTCAAATCAGCCAAATAATCAAGTTCCCTGCTTTGTAATTAGGTATCATGTCAGATTTTCCGGATGAATCTGGCCAGTCATCACAGTATATAGTAGTGTAAAACTTTATCTCAAGTTATTAAGTTATGGATGACATACCATATCTATTTATTCGAATAGAATTCAGTAATCGATGTTTAATGTTGTACAAACATGACGGTGTACCAACCATCTCTTAACAAGAATTATATTGGCTAAAAATCTATAAAAGTAGGTAGAGTTGGATGTTATATAATTTAGAAACCATGGTAAGTGCAATACATGACACATCATATATATCCAATGTGTACAAAATACATTCGCCAATTTTTAGAAGCAAACATACAAACCAATAAATTTAACTCAAAATCAACTGAACTTCAATAGATAAATGCATGTATGCACAGAAAAGAAAACAGTAGTAAAAACCATCATTATATATATATATATATATATGCACAGGTGTTGCATATATATTATTCGATAAAACTTCACTATTATATGGAAATTACACCGTTTTAAATACACACAACACATCAAATAAGTAGTAAAGGCAAGGCGCTAAAAATTAACCAACAATGTTGTCAATAATGTTAGATGATAAATAATATAAAGACTAGATAATTATGTTATTTAAGATGAAAACAACATATGTGAATAATGAAACAAGGGAATGAGGATATTAAATACAGGGAAATAAATTTGATTCCTTATAAACACAAGAAAAATGAGAAAAAACAATAACAGTTTTTGGATAAAGATGGTACAATAATGAGTTGTTATTATTATTATTTTCAACTATCTACAGTGTTTTATGTGAAATGTTAATTAATTAACCTGTGATTTTGATTGTTCCAAAATAGTAACGATTAAACGTGCGAAAAACAAATTTAACATAAAACGATGAAATGTCAGGCACAGAGAATAATAATGATTGTCATTATTATTATTATTATTATTGATGAACTCAGTGAGAAAAAAGTTTCAAAAATTTTCAATCACACAACATATGTTGAAGATATAAGCACAGAAAAGGTATTCATTGCCCTCATTAGTGGTAAGAGGACGAGTAATTAAAAAGAAGAAATTAACAGTGGTAGTGATGGTCCTAGTCATATTACTAATAAACGAAAGCCCGATCAATATTTTATAAACATAATGCCATAGAATTAAATCTTATTTGCGATATAACTGACAAGAGCAGCTAAACCAAGTGCTCCAACAGCTCCAGTGGCAAGCCCACCAACATTGCGTAATGTTTTCCAGATTAGTTCCTGTCCATCATTTACAAATTGGTGACCACTGAATTCGATTAATCCAGACTAATTATAAATTGAAATTAGAATAAAAATCGTCAAAATAGAATACTGGAAAAGAAAATCGTATTTATAAAAGTCCTTAACTATTGAAATCAAAGTAAAGTCTAGCATTTCGTTCGGCGGTCTGATCCGAGCTTCTTTAAGGAAACGATTAAACATTAAAATTATTGAATGTAAATAGGATTTACAAATTAACCTTGTACTAAATAAATTGTCCAATCTCGATGACGTTCAACGTGGGATTTGTTTTAGAGTGCATGAGTCATTTGGTGTGAAATGTGAAGAAATTGTGGTAGGTGTATTTATGTGTATGAATACCAGATGTGATAAAAACCATCGACCATAAATGGCCTCTGGATATGATTAGTGATAAAGTCAAACAATCTGAACGGTTTAAAACAGCAATTCCCTCTGATAAATTTGGATAGCGTAATACGAAGATAAAGATTATCAGAACTACGTTATATAATAGCACAACACATTTCAAACAATCTGATCATACATAGACTTTTTAAGAACATTTATGCACAAAAATAAAAGGTCAATAAATAGAGGCCCTGTGTAATAGGACTAATCGTATTTGTATAAACGATGCTTATGATGATTAAGTGAGGTTGTTGAACAAACCATTAAAGGAAGGTGGTTAGCCTTTAAAATTCATCAATCGATGGAAAAATCGCAGTATACAGAGACCTACATCTTCGTTACAGAAAAATCTTGTCTACATCCCCCTACCATTCAGAAATAATTCAAATAGACTTGTGTTGAAACAAAGGCTGAAATCGATTGTCAGTAAGACTTCCTATGGGGTAAAGGTCATTATCACCGAAAAACAAGGTCCATGCTTCACCCGAAACCTGAACGACATGTAAACTATCGCGTCACATTCCAATGAGTCTATAAATTTACATGTGTGTATGGCCATACATACATAAGGAAGAGCAAACATGGTATCCAAATTAGTGTCTGAACATGTACCTAAATGATTGCGAAAACAAATGACCCAATAAGGGTATGTGACAAACATTCATCGTCCTCTGTTGCTAGATACATGGCTGAAACAGGTCATAAGATTGACCTTAACTCAACTTTTTTGGCTTGTACAAGTGTTCAAGGGCGTATATTAAGGTTTATCTAAACCCTGGTCATACGAAAACTGAAGACCCGTATGTGTTCATCAAAAGGTTTATTCATACCCTCAACCAACCCTGATAATATTGTTTTATTATCTAGCGTGGCGAATTTCACATTTTTAAGTATTATTTTATTTATAATCTTGGTTTCCTCTTACCTCCCCACTTGTCTAACTGACCTTTTAATTTTTTCAATATAAATGTACTTAATAGGCATACGTGTGATTAAATTGTTGGAAATGAATCGCGCTAATATATCACATAGTTCTATTAATCTTCATCTTATTACAATATCTAAATCTAAAAGGTATTACAAATGAAAGATATCACAGAGAAACAGGGTATAATTCAAGGTTATTGGCTATTATTACCTCATGGATTGATTCAGTGTGAACAAAACCTTTGGTAGAAAAAACTAAGCCCTCTCTTTTGGATTACCATTCACAGGTTTTTGCACAACAGGACAAGGCACATTTGCTTCGTATGAACCAGCCGCTTTTCCTCGTTTCAGATAAGCTATAGCCTTTTGAACTTCAGCTAGAGTTGGGGAACCTACTTTAATGTTCCATTCAGACTGTCTGGGAATGGTGGATATTTATAGAGTAGCTGAAGGCCAGCTGAACTGCTCCTAAGTGTTTCGCCCATCGTTTTAAACGCCTGGACTGAGATTAGATAAAAGTGTTGTTTTTTACCGAGATCGTTTCACTTACACTTGACTTCTTAATTCCAGTTTCTTTTATTAGTCTGAAAAGCTGTCTCGTGCTACCTACAGCCGCTGCTAATCTTCTCCCAACCCACGATTCGCTAATTGAAGGTACCCAGTGTAAGCCAATATATCAATTACTCATCCGCTACTATTAATGTTGCTGCAACTATTCACTGGTGGATGACTAAAAGTTTAAGAAAAACTTGGATAATATAACTAGAACCACCTAACTGCAGGACAGAGAAAACTAAGATGGGACAAATATTTAATGAATCACAAAACTATCCAGTTAAAAAACCACTTAGGACTTAAAATTAGTGTAGCTCTAGAAGTTTTAATTATTTTGAAGACACGTGGAAGTGAGTAATAAACAAAATAGCATATTGTAAAAGCATGCGTCCATCAAGATTGTCACACATTTGGGTAAAATTTAACAAGTCGAATATGGAGTCAAAATAATAACAGCAATCACAGTCGACTAGCTAGACAAACACAGTATATGCAGTTCTACTAACTAGCTGTTATGCCAGGAATACTGAGAGAACTTATTAGCAAACCATGCAATTTATGAGTTTCCGATTCAAATTCATAGGATACTTGTCTTTTTCAATCAAGGATTTAGTTTAAACAAACGTTTCGCAAGATTACTAACTTTTTAGAGAAAAAAAGCTCCATTCTAAGAATTTGGGTTGAATCAAAGAAAAAATGAATAGGGTAAGTAAAGGTGAACGACGTACCCAACCATCATGAAGATCAATCCAACTCTTCAGCTTCTCATCAGAATACTGACTTGTTATTTTGATAAGCATCTTTATTGCATCACTATGTCCATGTTTGGATAATCTTAAAACCAGTATACGTAGAAATGCAAACATTGCTACAATACGCCCCCAGTTCAATTTTTCGAATAAGCCATCTAATATTTCAAGATAGAATATTTCCAAAGCTGTTTTATCAACTGGTTTGTCGGAATCGATACCCAAACTTTCAGCAACTGGTTCTATTTCATGTGTTCGGCTGAAACGTTGATTGAAATCTCTGACCAACATAAGTAATGATTTGATAATTTCTTGTCCATTAGGAACAAAATTTAGATCAGTATTCGTGTTGTCGGTTAAGTCAATCAGGTAACTGGCATCTTGTTTATCTGTACTAGCTAGTAGGAAAGAGTGACATAATACCGAGGTTTGTAGTCGAAAATCCGTAGAATTAGACATTCTGAAATACATATAACAGAAAAATGAATTATTAAAATGAAATGAAGCAGACGTTATCAATATGTAGGAGGGAATCACTCACTTGCTGACAAAACGAAAGCAAATAAAAATCATATTAATTAAAATAAGATAGAAATGTGGAGGTTTACAAAGCATCCATCATCTATTGCATTTCTTCAATCCCGTAACATGGATGTACTGTTTCTGAAAGTTATACAAGAGACAAGCAAAGCAATCTCCTTTTTAATGAAGTCATTCAGTTAGTCAGCTACAACGCAGGACCAGGCACATATATGCATCGGTCCAATTTGCCATACCTCATTAACACAACAAGATGGACACCTGATTCATAAAAGTAGTTAATTCAGAGGTGGTAATATATAAAAGAAAGATTGCAATAAGTATATAATACAGGAAGAAAGAATTAGTTCATAGAAAGGAAGATATGAAGCGATTTTAATCTCTTAGTTTAAGGGAAGACAGAGAGTGTATACACCGACGTCATTGTGATCGATTCTGAGCCATGCCACCAAGAGTCTCAAACCATTGGTTACGATAGTCACGCGGACCCCAACCAAGTAGTCTGCATCTACCAACATGGCTCAGACTAGAAGTTAGTGACTTCAAGCACTGATACCACGTTTTGGTTTGGCCGCCCTTAACTTTCTTCCAACCATCCCGAACACCGGTTAGTATTGCACGTCGTGGTAATCTGTGTTCAGGCATACGTAATACGTGGCCCAACCATCTCAGTCGATGAAGATTCACAACCTCATCAACTGATTTACCATCATTCCCTAATACCCTGCGTCGAACCTCACTATTACTTAGCTGGTGGTCCCAACAGATGCGAGCAGTATTTCTAAGGCATCTGTGGTCAAATACTAGTAGCTTACGAGTGTCTTCTACTCTTAATGGCCATGTTTCGCTGCCGTAAATTAAAACAGAACGGACTACCGCGCAGTATACTCGTACTTTTATTGATAGACGGATATCTTGCCTTCGCCACAGGTGACGTAAGTTGGCAAAAGCCAAGCAAGCTTTTCGAATCCGTGCTGAGATTTCGTCAGACACCAACCCATTAGGGCTGATCAGACTTCCAAGATAAGTGAAGTTGTCAACGCGTTCGACTACTTCACTCCCTATCCTTAGTTCAGGTGTTGACGCAGACCAGTCTTGAAGCAGCAGCTTGCATTTAGAGGGAGAGAAGTGCATTTCAAACATTCTGGCATTGTTGCTTAGTGCTACCAAAAGACTCTGCATTTTGTCAGCGTCTTCACCAAACAGGACTATATCACCTGCGTATTCTAAGTCGATAAGTGGACCTCCTGGAAGGAGATCAATACCCGAGAATTCTGTAGACGAGAATGTTATTTCCATCAATAGGTCTATGATGAAGTTGAACAAAAATGGGGAAAGTGGACAGCCTTGACGGACACCACTTGAGGTTGCAAAAGTAGATGACAGTTCGCCATAAGCTCTGACTCGACTAGTAGTGTTCGAGTAAAGAGCCTTCACAAGGTTTATGTACTTCTGGGGTACGCCTTTCAATGACAGACATTGCCACAGAATATCACGGTCTACAGAGTCAAATGCTGCTTTTAGGTCAAGAAAGACCACTATTATCAGACGCCGATAAGTATGCCTGTGTTCTAAAACCTGACGAATGGTGAATATGTGGTCGATGCAGCCACGACCACGTCTGAAGCCAGCTTGATTTTCGTGTTTGCAGTTCACGAGTCTTAGTTCGGCATCCGATAATTATCGAGGCTAGTATTATATACACTATATTAGTTAAACTAATCCCTCTATGGTTGTCACAGGATGATTTTGACCCTCTCTTATATATTGGGACGATAACTGAATGTGACCACTCAGATGGGATAACATCCAACTCCCAGATCTTAGCTAAAATGTTAGTCAACCTAATCGCTAAAATTGGACCACCATCCGGAGCCAATCCATCTGGACCAGCTGCCCTTCCTCGTTTCAGATTAGCTATAGGCCTATGAACTTCAACCAGAGTCGGGGGACCTACTTCAATGTTCCATTCAGACTGTCTGGGAATGGAGGGTAGTTGTAGAGTAGCTGAAGGCCAGCTGAACTGTTCTGTGAAATGTTCCGCCCATCGTTTTAAACGTCTGGACTGAGAGCAGATGAGGGTGTCGTCTTTTTCAGAAATAGTCTCACTTACACTTGACTTCTTAATTCCAGTTTCTTTTATTAGTCTGTAGAACTGTCTTATGTTCCCCATAGCCGCCGCCTTTTCCATCTTTTTTGCTTTCGCTGCCTACCACTGCTCACGGTCGTTCCTTAGACTTTTGCTTAACCTAGATCTGATTTGTTGACGCTCTTCATCCTGTTCAGAGCCTAATGTGATGAGTTTACGAGAATCCATCAGTGCAATAGACCTAGAGGAAATCCATTGGTTCTTTGTAACCCTGTGATTTAAATCACTGATAGATGTCACTGCTGTTTCTACAGATCTTTGTATAGGTTTCCAAGTAACATCTGGGTCAGCTTCGTTTTCAGAACTACTTAATTGTGACCTCAGTTTTTCCTGGAACCTACTTTTGGTTTCCTCGCTACTCAATTTAGTCCTAATGGGTTTTTTTACTGTGACTTTTTTGCGTCCAATGAGGCGCAAGCAGATGCGTGCCCGTATTAAGGCGTGGTCGGAGTCCAAGCAGGTACTCCAGAATAAGCGACAATCTTCTACCGACCCTCTCCAACGGTGACTGATGGCAATATGGTCTATTTGAGTCCATCGTTGGTTTGGTGTAGGGGTCGCCATGTTAGACGATGTCTCTCCTTATGCTTAAAATTTGTGTTTGCTAAAAATAAACGATTGTCTGAGCACAGTTGCAGCAGACGATCACCATTATCTGTTCGTTGTGCCGGAATACTAAAATACCCACCTAAATGCTTTTCTGTTTGGTTTAAACTACCTATCTGGGTATTAAAGTCACCCCCTATGAGTACCATGTCTGAACGTTTAGCTTTCTGAGAAAGTTCAGATAACTTTTTGTAAAATTCATCTTTCACTTTATCTGAGCTGCAGTCGGTGGGAGCGTAGGCAGAAACGACAAAAAGGCAACGACGTGTGTCCCTATTATTCCTCCTACATCGACTTTTACCTCTAAACTTCCTTTTTCGGCTTCCCCCTCAAGCGTCACCATAGCCAATGATCCTAGTGCTCAAAACACTGTCCCAGGTCTACTGAAACCTCGCTCCAAACTACACATTGGAGCCTTCAACGTACGCACCCTATGGTTAAAACATTTGACTGGTTTAAAATCAAAAGCGCGAACCTGTATACAGTTAACAAACTTGATTATTTTTGAACCTTTAGGTTATTATGGTATACACAAACGACCTCCCTTTAGAATACCAAAGGATTTGATGTTCTCCACATATGGTTTTAAGAGCGGTTATATTAAATTACAAAACAAGACAGGTGTGTACGGACTGAAAGCTAATTAACGATTCGCGCGCTGTCTTACTGAAAAACAACTACAGAGACTAAGATAAGACTCGATACCAGCTCGCTATGTTTATTCGTATTGCCATTGACCAGCTTTTTAGTAGACAGGCGAACTAACGTAGGATATGATACCGATGCACATTCTTTAAAATTGAGCTTCTCAGACTAGACGAACAAGATATTAGGACAAACAAGACAGACATGAAGGATGACCAAAGTAATGAAACCCATCACTGGCCAGTACTAGATAAGGTCAACAAAAGATAATCAATTTCACACCATATGCTTGAATTTAAATAGACCTTTAGTCATACCATAGATAAGTGTACAACTCAACAGATAGTAAATATCTAGCTAGACGTTACCTATAAGTCTGAAGAAAGAAATATCACGAATTTCTCCAAAAATCATTGGATGTTTAGGGGAGCATGATGAGGCTTTTTATCGATCGTGTGGTTATATTTCTACTTAATTATAAAGCAGACACAAAGGCTGCTAGTATTCTTCGGTGACCATGAGCAGCAACAGGTAGCTAAGTTACAAAATATGAGGTGACTGGAACAAATAATGTAACTCATTCACTAAGTGTAGATTTGTGTACTCAACCGACAAAGTTTAAGTAAGGTAGAAAAACTACTTAACTTGAAGTGGCACTCAGTAAGTCTTGGTAATTCTGGAGAAAAAGGTGATAATCTAGAACTGCCAACTAGTGTGGAATTGGATTGATCGTCATGAGTTATAAGACACAGGTGAGGATGAATACAGAGCATGGGACGGTTGTTGATTGGCTTGATGTAACATAACTTAGAAAAGAATGTATCCGAAAAAAACTGGTGGTGGAAGACTAAGTAAACGGTAACGAAACAAACTAATCAGGCTAGAAATCAAATGATTAACAAGACGTTCGAGCGCATTTATGACACCGTGAAAATGAGTATCAAGTAGATATTTGCAGGAATTCATAATGTTTCTGAGATTCGCGATAATGTTATAGTTCATTGACAATTGGAATTACGGGAAAACAATTAATTATACCGAAATTTCATAGCAAGGTCATAAAGATATGTAAACTTGTGACTGTGATAACAACAAGTATTAAGCATACGAAGACTTACAAAGCTTAGCGGTCTCTACCAATCTGATGGAACTGACGAACTGTAGCGCCGTTGTTGAACTTTGAGTGTTTCTTAACAAGGCAAGTCTCTCCTTAATATTCAGTTTTCGTAAAATGGTTCAAATGGGTCGAATAGTTGGAGATCAAATATAGAGAACTTTCGCTCAAAGGGATAACGTATCCGGGAGCGGTGTATCACCAAAGCCTCCAGGTATATTTAGAGAAATATTAGTAAATTATGGTGAAATACAATCTCAGGTCCTGAAGAATATGTCAAGTTTCGTCATTAAGAACTCCTGAGAAATCTCTTGAACCACCGTAACCTGCAGTGAACTCCAGAATTAAGTATCTTGTAAAGAGTGTTTTCCGTCAGTCCAATGTTGTATCCCTAATTTCCGGATG